ATCACTTTATTGTTTGCCCTCATTTGAGTCCAAACTTACTTTAAAAGTTTCAGACTCCTTCAATTATTCGGTGCTTTTTTTTTTTTTTTTGACCCCTTCAGTGCCAGGAACAGCAAAGCAATCCCAGAGCATGATACTCCCTCCAACGTGCTTTACTGTGAGTTTTATTATTTTTATTATTTTAAAGCAGACCTTGCCTCGTTCCGGTTCTAACAGACAGATTAAAGAAAATAAAATGAACAGCTTATTCCAAACTGTTCCAATAAATTAGTCATATTTGTTCCTTAAAGTCATTTAAAATAAGATTCTCCAAAAGGTGAAACGTGGTTTACTTTCACGTTTTCCAATATTTTCATTATTTCCTTTTAGGCGACGACACTTTTCTGCAGTTTACAGGAGTTCATAGAGACAATTTAAAGTGACCAATCAGACTAACATGCATGTTTTTGATCTGTGGGAGAGAAAACCCACATATGCACGGAGAGAACATGCAAACTCCAACTAAAAAGGGCCCGAGCTGGGATTTGAACCAGCAACCTTCACACTGAGAAGCAACAACACTACCAACTGAGCCACCGTGCCACCCATCTATTATTAATATTATTATTACAATTTATGTTTATTTATTTTAGGCATGCAACCTTCCTAGCATTTAATCATCTGTTTTGATTCTAAATATCACTGTGGAGAAACTAGCAGCTAATGGACCTGTACCAGCTGAGGCACGGACCTGAAAATATAATACAGTATTGTTAAAAAAAACCTGGCAAGTTAAATATAATCTGGACCTTTGTTAGAAAAAATCTTTTGGAGGCAGACCTTGCTGAATTTTATTTAAAAATCACTGATTTGGGATGTAGTTATGAGACTCTTGTACAAAATTGGACTATTTGTGGATTCCTTAAAATGTAAGTTCCTAAATTGTATATTTCAGGCGTGACGATTCAAATGAGGATCATACGTACTGTTTGCGTACAGTACTATTTACTATTGAAATTTTGTGTACATACTATTTGTGTGTGCATTGCTCCAGATTTTTTTTAAATTTTTTATTTTTACCCTTTATTTATACAGGTAGTCTCATTGAGTCATGAGAACTCATTTTCAAGATGACTCAAGCAGAAGGTGACTGCAAAAATAAATAAAAAAATAAATAAATGCACAGGCATGTGCATGATTCATGCAGGCCAGAGAGAGTGAAAACAGCACAAAAAAAAGGTGAATGAACGTGCACACAGGCTCATGGTTACACAAACATCACCAGTCACAGACCAACAGGATGAGAGAAGATGAGGGGGGGGGGGGGGGGGCAGAGGTGTCTGTCCTGATTCTTGCCTGCACTGAACTCACATGGTCCACAGACTTGGTTCAGAGCTCCACGTGCATCTCCTCACGCACACGAGCTCATCCGAGTCGTGCACGGGCTCGACATTTGGATTCCACATTTTCACACTGAGTCTATTAATAGGCCGCTCCCTCCCTCTTCCTGTCTTGTGCTGCTCTTGCCTGCTGCCTCATTGTTTTTTTTTCCTCTCCTGTATCATATTCCATGCGGGGACATGGACAATGACAGTCTCCTGTTAACGTCAGCAGAAAAACAGATTGCACAAACATGCGCACGTAATCTGGCATTTGCGTAAAGCAAGCTGACGTGTGGAGCTGATGTTTATGCAGCGTGTGCACGACTGCCAGCAGATGAAATCAGAACAGAGCTGGGGCCTGATACGACTGATATAGAAAGCTTCCAATGACTTGTTACTGAAGGCTTTACCCCATCTATCAGGCATCGAATCAAACCTGTGACAAAAAATAAAATTAAAATAACCCAACAAAAAAACTAAAGTCTATAGAAGAACCCCAGGACTCCAACATGTGAAGATTATAATGTCAATTTTGGAGTTTAGGAGGACCTCATGTTAAAGTACAACACAGCAACAATAGGTTCATTCAAAACAAAAAGGTTGACAGCCAGAGAGGGAAACCTTTACGTATTCACAGTTTACAAATACAGTAGTCCCTCGCTACTTCACAGTTCGTTTACCACGGACTCGCCCTTTCGCTGTTTTTCAAAATAAGACTGGACATGACACACAGTTGGCTGATTGATGGATGAGCTGCACGATCGGTATGGAATTTTTATTTAATATAACTTGTTTAAAATTATTTAGCACCTGCTGCAGCGTTGTGCAGCCCACAGTGCAGGAGAAACTTCCTGCTGCAGCTGATCAGCTGTTCACCGTGCAAAGCGAAGAAGTGGGCGTGGCCAAGAGCACTTGCAGGTGGCAAAGAGCAGAGGAGGCAGAGAGATGAAATCATGACATTCTGTGTTCTTTTAGAGTGTTTAGAAACATTGTTTAGAATATTGCAAGAGTGTGGGAAGGGTTTAAAATGCCTTATATATA